TCCTATATAAACTATTAATATAGACATCACTTTACTCTTGACTCCGCTTAACCTGCAACTGGTTGCATTCGTAGAAATTCTTGTAAATATTTCAATGTAAAATTGATTGGATATCTCGTCCTGTACAATACAAAATTACATTTATATAACACCTTTCAGGCTGGGAGGATGTCCCAAGGCACTGAAGGAAATAAAATGAAAGGAAATGAAACCATGCCTTTTAAATTTAAGAATACGGTAAGCAGAATTTTGAAAAAAAATTATAACAAAGCTGCAGAAAAAACATCTTACAGTGAAGAATATTTTTAATTTTTAATTTAAAATTTTAAGACTGTGGTATAGCACTATGACCATAAGAGATTTCAGGCCTCAGGTCCTCAGCAATGCCTAAACATTATTAATGCTTAATTAAAAGCATTGGAACCATTAACATCTGCTGCTCTCACCTTTGTGCTAACTACAACAACAACTAATATTCCTTTTGGGAATGATACGCTGGGGAGTCTTAGATGTTTGATTCAGTTGATGACCAGATATCAGGTTGTTATAACTGAAAAGTTGCAACAGTTCTTGTGAATAGAAGTAATCTCTTCTGGTTTCCACAAAGGAAGGGCAACATTAGTTAAACCAGAGAGCAAATAGTTTTTTATACTGTTATTAATTTCATGCATGTGTAAAAGTCATTTATCTTGTAACAGTAAGCCCCAAAAAAGCAAGCCTATGTTGTAGATGGAATATTGCATTCCCTGTCATCTTTTGTATTGTATTACATTTTATGAGTGCACATATAATGGAAGATATAAGCAAATGACATAGTTTTTTCTGCAAAAAAAGAAAATTCAAAACGATTTAGTATACGGCATTTAAAGAGCTGGAAGGAAATGTGTTTGTAATGCAACACCGAGCGGATAGTGACTCTGAACAGGGATGTTCTCAATCTGTTTTGCCTTTTGGGCTTTGCTGTACAGGAATGATCACTGCACTTTTATTTCAACGCTCCCTCATTCAGCTATTAACCAATATGTTTAAATTAGATCCCAAGGCAAGGCTTGAATTTAAATATACATGAACATTTTTAACTAGCGAAATACCAAACAAACAAAGCCCCTGATTCTAGGCCAAACCTCACTGAATTTGGTTCTTTGGAGTGGGTGAGGCAAATTAATGGAGACTGATTTATATATACACTGAGCTCCAAACCATGCAATACTATGTTGTGTATTTAACATTATCTAATAATCTCATAGAAAAATAGCTGTCCAGATTTTTCTTCCGGCGGAATATCCTCATCAGCATCAAATTTTAGATCCTATGCCTCTAAACTATGGAATTCCCTCCCTTCCCTCCCAGCTCGGATCCAAAAAAAAACTGACTGTCCAGTGCCCTGGAACTTCATCCCATCGGGAAGGGTGCTATACAAGTGTAATTTGTTGTTGCTGTTGCTGGTTCACTCCTCTCCATCTGTTCTCAAGTGCTGCCTTAAAACCTACCTTAAGACCATCTGTAAGGTCATCTCCTCCTCCCCTCCCCCTTACTCAGCGTCCGACCCCATCAATGTAAAGCACTTGGACGTTAACCTACATGAAGGGCACTATATAAATGCAAATTGTTGTTAAGTTGGCAGATCACTATTGATGACTTCTGAACCAAATCAATATAGAGTATCTCTCATCAAGCATAAGCAATTCAACATGACTATTTTCCTCACATGTAATTCTGGAAATTTGTGATCAAAGCCACTCTTTCCTTAACTTTTAAAATGCATCACTGCGAAGGAAGTGACATAAGTTCTGCTTCCTGCATGTGCATAGAAGTAAGGTCAATGGCACCTGATAACCTGAAAAACAACCGTTTTATAGTAGGGGAAGCCACCTAGTCATGCTCCAGAAGGCGTATGTAATGTCTTACGGTACAACGCTGGTTCACAGTAGCCCCCACCATGCTAAACAGGAGCATGATCCTCCTGTGCTTGTTACTGTAGGACTTTCTTTTTTTGCTTCACTGGGTATTACACTATTCTTAACTCTGGATAAATGGATATGAGAGTTCATGAATATACTGTGCTTTTTTTTGGCTTACTTTCCCCCTTCTGTTTTGCCATTTTCACTGTAAGCAGATTTCAAGACGATGTGTGCTTTTTGCCATCAATGCAATACAACATTACATTTGCATAGGGCCTTTCACGTCGGGTTTCCATCAGCGGGTTTTCCTCTTCTCTGTCTTGTCCACTGCATAGTAACTGGCACTACAAATCTTACAGGAAAAGGTTCAAGCAAAAAAGTGGAAAAGTTTAGTGACATTTTCTCCTTTACTCTACACCATTAGTCTGTAGTCCCAGAACGTACATTGGGGCAGAATGGATGCAAGTGAGGTCAGTTTTACACATGCATGTAAGAGAGGGGTGATGAAAACTTCACATAATAGGGAAAATGATAAGGGAGCAGGAAACAAGTATTGGTTCAAATTTTCATTACATTAATTCAAATGTCATAAATTCCACCTGATAAAACTTGATATTGGAGTAATGAGAAAAAACGTTAATTAGATCCCGTTTGTGTATATTCAGCATATTAAATCATCAGTCCCTTAACTCAAAATCTGCTAAGTCTTTATCCTTTAGGAACGTAGAAGGTAAAGGTAAGGTCACGTCTAACTTTAGGGAATAGTATAATGGAACGCATTATAAAAAACATCTGTTCGGTCTTATATTTAACAAACGATCCTTTTTACATCTCATTCTGTAAAAGGGTGGCACCTCTTTCAAATGCTTGTTACATAGTCAAAGTTCTCTGGAATTGCTTTTTTTTAATTCAAGTTATATTGTTTTTCCAGTGTGGAATTTGATACAATAAAAGTTCATGCTCACTTCCTGAATGTTTTAAATGGTTTTATATAAGGCAAGCCTGTAAATTTGGAGCACTGTAGTACGCCTACATTTATATTGTCCTTAAATTAGCATTTCTAGCTCATCTGTTTTCACAAAAGGAAAGAAAATCTACAAAAGTACTTTTGAAACCAGCCTGGCCAGTTGTATGTGCAGCTATGTTGCTTTACTTTTTAATGCAGTATCAATAAAACACTTAAAGGTGCATTATAGTTTTGAAATTAGTGATAAGCTTTTGCCTACAAAACACACAGTCACTACACTTTATAATATATCCCGTGAGGTGGTATATCAAATGTAAGGATTTATATTTATTTATTAGAACAATCTAGAATTGGCTCTGAATTTATGAAATATTTTTGATTGACATGACAGACTTTTTTAAGTAAACTAGTATTTCGCCTTACAGATGGGAGGGGAGTATTTACAATGAATACAATGTTGATAATATCAAAACCTCAATTTAATGTCAAAAAGCCTGGGTGCCATCAGCATGCCTGCATGTTGCTGGGTGCAGAGATTTGTAAAAAATATTATTTTTTTCCGTCTGATTTGAGAATACCTGTAGTTTGAAGAGAAGTCTGATTTATTGTAAAACTGTTTAAACCCCCGGGTGATAGGAAAGCAGAGTAGTTATGATTTCTTCAGTTGGCGAAACAACACAGCGATATCAATGGGGGAGAGGTGGGTTTACAACACCAACTTGTATTTATATAATGCCCTTCACGCAAATAGTGCCTCGGAGCACCTAACAGTGTCGTAACAGGATATATGTGCATACGACTGCCAGCAAGGTGAAAGGTGAACTAGATGGACCTTGGTCTTTTTTTCACTTAGCATGTCTTATGTTATTTGTTCTTATTGATGCCGAGTCAGGGAGAGATGGAAGGTAAATGTAGACTTTACTAACAGAATGTGATGTTTCCATATCCCATTCAGAACAAACATTAGATGTGCTATTTTTAAATGGTGCAAAAATGCAATTGATACTGAAAGAAGACAGAACTGAGTTGTTTTTTCCTTTTGGTAAATTTGCCCCAAACCAGGTGGGTGCTGTTCTTTTTGTATGTTGGCCTTGTGATCACTTGATGTTACCTGAAGGTTAAAGAGACCAAACTTCAATCTGAGAATACCAATTGGTATTTGCAATGGGACAGTTAGATTAATAGTGGCAAGTTAATACAGCTAGACTCTTCACTTGAATAGTCATCCCTCATCCTGTCCCAGCTATAATGCGCCTGTGTATTCAAATTTATAAAATATCTTGTACATGTGCTCCATTTTGGCTAACTCAGGCTTGCTGTGCATTCCCTGTCCCCTTGATGCCACCTTTGGCGCCTGAGCCTTCAGCTAATATACATCTGACCTCTGGAACTCGCTCTCTCGACCCTTCTCTATCGGCCTTTAAATCCCGGCTTAAAACCCATCTCCTTAACCACGTCTATGGTCACCTTTCCTCCCTTGCTGTGTGTCCAACCCTGTCTTTATGCAATGGTCTGAGATATAATTGTGAAGTCCTGTAGCTCAGTGGTTAAAGCACTCGCCTCGCAAGCAAGAGGACCTGGGTTTGATTCCCGACAGGGCAAAACGTTGGGCAAGTTTCCTTACTCCACACTCCTCTGTTTACCAAGCAGTATATAGGAACCCGGTTGTTAGTCGATTGGTGAATCGCTTTTCCGAGGATAATAGTTCCTTCAAAAAAATAATAATAATAAATTGGTCACTCAATGCCCAACTGTTTGTGGGACACTGCTGTGCACAATTTGCTGCTGTGTTTCGCCCACAGAACACACACTTTACAGTATGTTCTGTGAAGTGCCTTGAGATGTCGCAAAATGTGATAAGGCGCTATATCAAATTAAGGATTATTATTATCCAACATGAACGGAACTATATGAATGTAAGTTTTTGTCGAGAATAATGTTCAGGGAGGATCATGTGCAGCCCCTTACACCCCAAGAGCAGCTTCACTGATATCAAGATTACCTAGATTACAGCACAAATATTATGCTATATCTGCATGTAGTCTATGACACCATGTTATCAGCATGTAACACCAGATATAGGACAAATGGATATTCCTAGTTGTGATTATTATTTTTATTTTTTTTAACAGAATCCTGAGTAACAATAAACTATCACATTTAAAGAATGGCTCGTTTGTTGGACAGATCTTCCTGGAAAAATTGTAAGTATGAACAAAACTTATTTTCCCCCAATTTTTTTAAAAAAAATGCTAGGGGCATAATGACTTTCCATTGGTATATGGAATTTTCTATAAAGTAAATGTGTAAAGGATCAAAATGTTTGACTTGGAACAGATCTATGGGTGCTTTAAGTAAGTGCCCATTATGCATACTACAAGCTCAGAAGACTAAAGTTCTTTTGCTTTGAATAGAATCAATTTGTAGATCAAAAAACAATGGAAGGTGCACATTATTTAGGAAGTTTGTTTTTTTATACAGACATTAAGATGCACTCTTGCATTTGTAATTTTACATGATGAAATATGGAATGAAATATCAAATACGATGAGACACCCTAAGTCGTTAAAGCACACAGGGTGCCTTTTAAATGTTTTGTGTTGTAGTTATGGTGATTCATTCTACAATTGTTTCACGTTGTAGAATGAAAAACTTAAAGGTTAAGTAAAGTGTGGAGGAGAGCTTTCTGTTCAAAGTACACTCCTCTGGAAGTATTAGAAAAGTGCATCCTTGTAAAAAAAAAGTACTGTGTGCGCTAGAATGGTTCCTTTTACTTTTACCCATTCCCAGTTTGCGCTTTCATTCAGCTGTGTCGAGGGTTTTGAGATGTCCTTCAGACTTGAAAGGTGCTGTATAAACATAAGCTACAATTATAACTCAGTTTGTATGTTTATTGCCTCATCTCATTACATTAAAATCATGTCTGGAAATTTGGAGTTACAGCACTTGCTGTCTGTTGACCTATTATGCTTATGATGAGGGAATGAAGGAGTGCGTGTGCTATGGGTTAATGTTTGTCCTCCTCAGTTACCAACAAGTCAGTGTTCATATCATTAAAATCAATGGATTAACACCTTACGCAGCTGGGATTCTAGGTGGAAACATCATTTAAGTTCAATAAATGACTTTGAAATATGCCAAGGCAGCAGGACAAGAGAGCACAAGTTCAGGGTTATGAAGAGCAATTTTAAAACTGGCAAGAGGCAGCATTTCTTTACACAGGGAGTAATCGGCCTCTGGTGCAGGTTACCAGGAGGGTGACAGAGGCCAGGATATTTGAACTCATTTAAGAAACGACCCGATTCTGTAATGAAAAGAAAGTACAGTTGATATTTTGACAGGATAAGATCAAATAGACTGAAGGGTTTTCTACTTCCAAAATGCCCTCGAGATTCTGTCATTTTTATGGGGAGAGTGGAAGGTTTCATCACTCGATCTGTCAAGGATTAAACATCCTTTGTGTTGTCTCCAAGAGTTAGAGAAATGAAGTATAATCAATTACATTTAACAACAAGTCTTGCTTCATTCTGGCCTCCCATCTACATCTAATAGGAATTTGTCTTTTGCTAGCTCTGCAGGACAAATCTGTTTTACATTTCAACAGACATGAAATATTGCCGAGACTTGATTTTATTTTTATACATATATAAAAAAATTCTGTCTTTGGTAATTATCCCATTTCAGTTTCATTTTTACTGTAGAGCTTGTAAAGGTTTACATTCAGTTAATTATCTTATTTTGTAAAGAAAAAAATGGAAATCAGATAATCCTTGCACTTATTATGAGGTCTTGTATTCAAACATCCCAAAGGATTTGTTGTAAAATGTACTGGCTGTATTTTGTGCAGATGAGCTTTTCCATTGTCTTATTCAACACTCCCGCAGATTAATTTGGTCCTTCACTTCATGGCTACTTGTGGGACATTCATATGTGTGAACTGGCAACTGCATTCACATACAACATACAGTCAGCAATACATGCTTTGATTTTTTTTAACAATATAGACTCTATAATGCAAGAATTATTAATGTTTTTATAGTATAAGTCAGGCTATTTGATGACTGAAATGTAGAGTTCAACGTGTGATGTTTCTTAACAGATTTCATGCATAAATGAAATGTTTAAAAGCATGCCATTTTTCCTTTAAATCTATTTTTTTTCTAAATTGTTACCTGTCTTTAAATACAATACAAAATTACGTTTGTATAGCGTGTTTTCATGTTGAGAGGACATCCCAAGGCGCTGGACAGTCAGGGATTTGGACCCGAGCTAGGGGCTGGGATCGGGAGATTGGAGGGCAGGGAGGATTGGAGGGTGGCCAAAGGCTTGGTTGAAGCGGAGGGTTTTGAGACACGCCTTGAGGGAGGCAAGGGGGAGAGCGGGGTGAAGGGAATGTGAAATGGAGTTCCATAGGGTGGAGACAGAAAGGCTGAAGGCTCGGCCGCCAATGGTGAAATGGGCTGGGTGGGGGACGTGGAGCAAGCCAGGATGGTGAGAGTGGAGTGTGCATCCCTGGATGGGGACGCTGTCAGTACCTGAGGTGTGGAGGCCCAGATGGGTGCCAATCATGAGAGCCTCCAAAAAACTTGCCTTCCCCCGCCTCCCTTTCTTGGCGTCCAATCCTGCCTTTGTGAAACACTCCTGAGACATTATGCTGCATGAAGGGATGCTGTGTAAATGCAAAAGGTGTTGGACAAAATACTGCTCTGGGTGTGATACTAACCCTTCACCGTCCCATCGACTTGTGCCCAGAGACAGTTCCATATTGGAATGACGTGGAATGATAGGTGTCCAGACCTTTGAATCAATAGGGGGTTATTAAAATGCTAATTCTTCCTTTAGAACCACGTGCCAGTGATGTTTTAGGCAGCCCTCCTCTCATTTGTTTGAACAATCAAATCCATCCTACCATGGCACACAAACTCACAACACAAAGGGAAAAGAGTAGGGTGTTCTCCCCGTGGTCTGACTAACAATCCTTAAGATAAATTGGACAATGCTCAATTTGACTATTGTGTTTGCCAACAAATACACTGTCTCTGGACAAACAGTAATCACTGTAAAGTGCTTTGAAACGTTTTGATGTTGTAGGCACTATATTTGAATGCAAGGATTATTGTCAGGGCTGGTTGGGTGCAAGAGTTGCAAATGAAGAATTAGGAATGCAAAAGCCATAAAAGGAATTTTTTCATTACTCGACACAAGTATACTCTAGCCATTTAAGGCTCGCCCCTTCGGTGGAGTCTAATTTGCGATATTCACTAAAAGCAGATCTACCGAGGTGTGTCTCATGCTAGGGAAACACAAAGGTCTTTGGCAGGACATTCAGATTTGTAAAATGACTAACATGGGAAAAATCAACATAGTTTTCTCTCCCCATTGACTTGGAATGGGAGAGGATAAGAGCCTCCACATATCTTGTAAACAGACCTTGTCTGTTCCAATAGCAGGATATGCTGGCAGGAGCAACTAGCATTCCCCAGCTCCTAGTGCCCCCTCTGCCTGTGAAACAAATGGCCAATTCACAGGAACCTTTTGTTTTCCATTAGGGTGAAAAAAAGGGAAAGATTCATATCCATAGCATTTGCCCTCTTAACTGCAACCCATTGCCTAGTTTTAACCTGAACAATTATTTTCTGAATCAGTTGGCAGCACTCTCACTTCGGAGTCGGAAAGTTGCAGGCTCAAGCCCCACGTTGAGATTTGAACTTGCTTAGTTTAGGCTGACGTTGCAATGCAGTTATGGGATGTTTTGTATTGTCAGAAGTGCTGTTCTTCGGATGATACGTTAAACCGAGGTCCCATCTGTTAGTTCAGGTAAAAGATCCCATGACACTACTTGACAAGCAAAAGGAGTTTCTCCCTGTCTTTCAGATAGCAGTTCCCCCAAATAAAATATGTCATTCACTTCATGGTTGTGGCTGTTTGTGAGACATTGCTGTGCGCAAAATTCACGTACAAATACCCAGTCACTCCACTTGACAGTAAAATCCTCTCAACCGTGTGAAAAGTGCTACACCAAATGCAAAGATTTTTTTTGTAAGGTGGAATTTGTAGTATGTGATCTGTAATGTAACAGCTCCCTCTTTTGGCTGCTAAGAACATGAAAATTTAGAGGAAAAAAATGCAATTCTGACCAAATGAAATTGTGCTTAATGTTATCTGAATTAGTTTTTAAAGAGTTTGGACCTATTAACATGACTCACAATCTTGTTTGTAGTCCTGTTTAATGAGAAAATAAAATATGGTGAAATGCTTGAGCTTCCTTTTAGCTGATTATTTTGATGAATCAGTCTATTTACCATAACCAGACAATTTAATAAATTCCTGGCATCATTGAATTCTAAATTCTGCAGACCAATGTTAATTCGTAGGTCATGCATTTGCTTAGAATGTACCTCACAGAAAAAGTGCTTAACAATGAAAAAAGGGGTTTCTCCCTCTTGTCATTTTAAGTGTCTTCTTATTTGAGTGTTCCAATGAGTCGATCACCATTCCCAGCTGTTCTTTGGTATCCATACTGTACACACACCTGCAATGACAGGTTCTCCATGAAATAGTGTTTTGTATTTCGTGCAGCCCCATGCCCTAATCGAGGGCAGATGGCAAAGTGGAAATAGCAGTTTGACAGCTAGATCACTTGAACCACTACTGAAGAGTGATTTCTTTTTGCATTAAATTACTTCTGATTTCAAATCGAAATTTACACCTACCTTTCATTTGAATTGTACATTAGTATGCACAGAGCATCTGAAGAGGAGCAGAGGGATGATCTGCAATTCCATTCAAATGTGTCTTGAGTGAGATTTAAAGACTTTCCCCTTGTGGGATCTATAATAATAATAACAATCTTTGCAATTGTTATAGTGCCTTAGTGCATCATTGAGACGTCTCAAAGTGCTTCACAGAATATATTGTAAAGTGGATTGACTGTGTATTTTGTGGGCGAAATGTGTTCTAAAGTGTTCTGTGATTTCTCAAAGTATATTCTTCATTTCATCTTCATGCGTCTTTTCCAAAGCATAAAAGCATTGCAAGCCTATTATTTCTTTATGTATGTTCTACTGTAAGGGACCGAGAAATAAATACTGGATTCAGTAACTTTCAAACAGTCATCTTTCAATGTAACAAAGAGATGAACACCAAAAAAGCATTTCCAAAATACGTTCAAAAATCACATGCACAAGTGATTCTGCCACAATAT